GAAAATGTATATGTAATTTTTCTTCTCCCATACAGTGGTGTGTATGAGACATCAGGATTGGAGAAGAGGAGAAAATTAAACTAGGGGTATCCGGCCTTTTTATTGTACTCCAAATTCCCCCAGTTACTTGCAGAATAAAGTTAATTTACTGGATCATTAAAAGAACACCATGTGTCATACAGAGCCCTGGAATAGAGATAGAAGAAAACAGGTGAGAAGAAAAGTCAAGAGATCAATAATGGAAAATCAGTTCTTAAAAGGTTGTGGATCGTTGCTTTGGAATGTGCAGAGCATCCTGGGAGGTGGTCAGAGCAGAACAGTGACTGAAAGCAGCCGAGGTGTACATTCTGGATCCAAGCTGCCAGAGTTCAAATCCCAGCTCGCCATTCCCAGTTGTGTGACCAGAGGCAGGTTCCTGTACCTCTCTGCTGCATTTTCTTCGTTGCAATAGGGAGATAATAATAGTACCTGCCTCATCAGGTTGCAGTAAGGATTAAGTTTGTCAGTACTGGCATAGCCCTTCGAGCAGCATGTGGCACATATTAGCCATTTCTCTCTTTGCCAATTCTCTCCTTGCCTTTGCCAGATGCAAATGTCATGCCCAATATGGACTGTGGGCAGCCAACCAAATAAACAGAAGGAATAGGGCTTTTCCTTCCCTTGGGTCCTGGGATCATGTATGCATTGGAATTCTAGGTAGGAGGAGGCCTCCCTGCAACATCTGGGCACCCATCAATCTGTGGGTTTCCAACCCCCACACACACTTGCCCTTATTCCAACACGTTTTAAAAATCAGTTCCACATTTCAAGCATGTCAAGCTAGATTTTAGCTTTAGTCTCTTACATATTTGGAATTAGAGCCTCCAGCATCGATTATGCAAATCCATGCAAATAATATGCAAAGATGCAGTAGCCCCAGATTGTGGGGAGGAGGGTGTGTAGGCCAGCACAAAGGGCCTAGGATGGAAATTTACATGTGTTAGGGGAGCCCTGGGCTGAAGGCCTTGCACATTTATTGTGACAGTGTGCACCACATTCAGTTGTTAACCTTTTGTGCCAAGGAGAGGTGAACTCTTGTCTGATTTCCATATTGAAGGGGACAGCAGAGGTTGAGGGAGGTGTCTGGGCATGCAACATTGTAGTGATTTTTATAATACAAATGAAACATTGCTTTGACATAATGGCTGTGGTTCAGGCTGTGGCCCCAAGGAGCTGCGTGTTCTCGGACAAGTCACTTCACTCCTGTTGCACCTCTACAAAACGAGGGACTTTGGAATAGATGAAATCCAGGGCTCCTCTCAGTGTGACATCCACAGTCATCCTCTAGGTGAAAACCCTTGGCACCCATGATGGCAGTGTCCACTTACGGTGCCAAAGATTTATTCTAAAGTCTACAGAGGAAAGAGCTGAGAGGTCATTTTACAGGCCTCTATGACAGAGAAAAAAAACGTCAGGGCATGCTGGCAACTAAAAAAAGTGGTGGCGGAGGCGGCAGCAGCAGCAGCTCGCAAGGGCAAACATGTATTTACACTGTAAGTCTTAGAGCAGGGAGGGTTCCAGTCTTAGGAATCCCATAGAAATCCTCCCCAGCTGGGAGGACTTTAGCCCCTCGGGTGCTCATGGTGGGAAAGTCAGGAATTTCTTTCTCTGAGTACTCTAAAGACCTCGGCCTCTAAAGTGCTGCGAAAGGTCTCCTGGCCCTGGGATCGGTTGGTAAAAGCTCTGTGTTCTCCTTGATGCTGCTGCCAAAAGACTGCTGTGTCCTCGGTCTCTGGTTTCTGATTGTATCGGGTACATCTGGTGCTCAACTCCAGGAGCCCCCAGGCCCTTAATACTTTTTTTTTTAATTGACTTTTAAAAATTTTTTTCTGTGGTTTGGAGGACATTTTAAAAATTTTTATTAATATTATTTTTTTATATTCTATGATGTTACAAAGCAGTTGGCGGGGGAGGGGGAAAGGGAAAGGAAATGGGATGGAAGAAGGAGGACGGAGGAGGGGCAGGATTGAGGCCTGTGGCACCCCCCACATTCCCCCAGAGAACACTGGGAGCTTCAAGTGGTGGCTTGGTCATTGCTGAGCTGGGTACAGATGTCAGGGGGTTGTGGCCAAGGTCTTCAGTCTCTCCCTGCCTCTGGACCAGTTGCGAGTGTCAGGGGACATGGCTGAGGCCCCCAGCCCTCCCCCCTTTCTGGCTTGGTAGCCCAGAACACCTTCTTGATGTTACAGGTGTTCTTTGGCAAAATGAGACCTTTACTAGTTAATATTAAACTTTGTTTCTGGTTGTGGGTACTTTGTTTTTGCTTTCAGTTCTGTGTTGGATTATTTGCTGTTCCCACCACTTAAACTCTGCACTAGAACTAGTTTGTTGTCCTTTGGTTACTTCTAAAATGGGGGAACTTCCTGTGGGGACCAGTACTTGAGCTGTGTGGTTGAACTAAATTGCTGCTTTGTGCTGATTCCCTAGGGAAGGCTTTAATGGTTTAATGCTTTGTGCAGCTCAGGTTTTAATGATTGACTTTATAGGTACTTCCAGCTCTCCAGAGATCCAGTGCACCTGGGTTGTGTAGAAACTCTGATCTGGGCCTGAGTCTTTTCATCAAACCACCCCCTGCAATTCTATATCCCTGACCAGGTCCTGTGCTGACTGGGGTGCAGAACAGCTGTCCTTGCTGTGCCCCAGTGTTCCCCCGGTGGGCCCATCTCCTCCACTGCCTGTGCTCCAAACACTTCCCATGGGACAGGCCAGGTGCCGTTCCCTTGCAATGATTCACCAGCCTCTGAGTGGCTCCTTTTTTCAGTTGTTGTGGGTCCACGGGAACCCTATTAGTGGTCTTGCTGGCCTTGGGGTCCACCAAGGCCCTCTTCTCCCCTGTCACCTCCAACCAACTCCATCCAAAGGGCACAGCTGCCACTTTTGCTGGCTCCTGCTCCGTGCACTCAGCAGCTTCATCCTGGATGCAGCTGGGGCTCGAAACCATCAGAGCGGTTTTTTCTTTCTCTCATCGTGGCTTCTCCCACCTTCATGCACTCCATAGGTCTCTCCTTCTCTTCCCCTGAGCTCTAGCAGTCCCAGCTTGGCTGTTGTTGTTTTTTATAGTTGTAACTTGGTTGATTTCTAGGAGAGAGTGATGCTTAGGGACCGTCTATTCTGCCATCTTGACTGGAAGAAAAACTCAGGCCCATAATATTAACTCCAGCTGCTGCAACAGCCACCAGTCGAGTGCAGGTGTGACCTGACAGCCCTTCAGCCCAGGGCTTCTCTGACTCAGCAGGATGTGCAGTGGGATGGGCACCTGAGGGGCAGCCCCAACCAGTGGGGACTGGAGCCCCTGGCTGAGTGCTCCTTGCAGGCAGTTTGAGGGGCAGCCCACTCAGCTCCTCAAAGGTCCCCAGCAATTTCAGGGTGCTCACCCTGATCAATGCATAACCTGCCTCAGATGGGTTTTCCCTGTTTCACTCATCTCAGACCCCCACTGGTGACCCCTCAGATCACTTCCCAAGATAAGCTACCTGCACACAAACTCTGATCTCCATCTCTCCTTTCTCAGGGGATCTCTAATATAAGATGCTGGTATTAGTTTGCTCAGGCTGCTGTAACAAAGGTACCACACACTGGGAGGCTTAAACAACACAAATGTATTTCCTCATGGTTCTGTAGACTAGAAGTCCAAGGTCAAGGCACCAGCAGGGTTGGATTCTTTTGAGGCCTCTCTGCTTGGTTTGCAGACAGCTGCCTTCTTGCTGCTTTGTCCTTACATGATTGCCCCCCTGTGAGTGACAAGGGGGTCCACACGAACAAAGAGGCATTGACAGGTCAGAATCAGGCATTAAAGGACTGCCTGGCCACTTCTCAGCAACAGAGACCAGCTCTTCCCAGCCCATGTGTTGTCAGGCAATGGCCAATCTAAAGTCTACAATCTGAATAGATCTTACATCTCACATTTGTACAAGGTGTTCTTTTTAAATATAGGCACAAGCTGTTGTGATTAATATAATCCACACATATTTAGAAATGTTTTTAAATTATAAGTTTTTGTTCTTGTACATTTCTCAATGAACTAAAAGTATACACATTGACTTTCATACAAAATCCACGGTATGTTTTGTTGCTGTTGTTTTAATGTTCAAAAGGCTCTTCCTACTCAAAAAGGCTGGACATTGCCAATGAAGATTTTCCGGGGAGTTCAGCTTCATGAGTGCCATAGGAAGAGCCGCTGATAATAAAGACAACCGTCATACCAGCTGGCATTTATAGAATGCGTCTTCTACTCCAGACTCTGTGATAAGTGCCTTGTGAACACCAGATCTGGTCACACTTCTCTGGACTCCTGTCCCCTTCTGCCTGTCACTCGCCTATGGCACCAAGGCATCTTTGCCTTATTTCAGGACTGTTTGTGCATTTGTGCAAGCTCATCCAGGGCCAGAGACTGCCCTGGTCATTTTGTGTCCTCTGGGGTCGGGGAGAGGGCATACCCTCTCTGACTGTTTGGAGAATGGGCCTGAAATGAACAGAGGTGTGTCCGTTTGTGCCTCTGTCTAGTTTATAAATGGAAGATTCAGAAAAGCACACAGGAGTTGGTCAGCTCCTCATTCTGCTCAGGGTGGCCCACACAGAGCTTCCGTCTTCACTGTGGTCAAGCTGGCCTTGACCTCTCCTTGGCTGCAGAGGAGGAAGCAGATGTGGAGGCCACAAAGCTTCCGCATCCCTAGCCCCAGCACATTCCGAGAAGTTGCCCCTGGGTGGAGGACTGATGGCATTTCAGAGGCATTTGGAAAAGGAGGGGACTGTCCAGTTTAGCTGGCTCTGATTCCCCTGGGCTAGTTTCTCTTCCTGACGGGTGCTGGGTGGCACCTGCCTGATAGACCTGTCTCAGCTCTGTATAAGGTTGTGTCTGATTGAGTGTTGGGGAACCAGAGTGGGCTTTGGGGATGCTCCCAACATTTCCCCTGAGTTCCTAGAGCTTTCCAAGCTCGGGTAAGGAAGGCCTGAGCTGTGAGCTGCTCTCGGGTATTTCACCTCTTCTCTCTGTCTCCTTCTCAAGGCTTCCTCCTGATCTTGGCACTGACTGAAGCACTGGTATTTGCCATCCAGGAACCATCTCCCAGGGAATCTCTTCAGGTTCTCCCCTCAGGCACTCCCCCAGGCACCATGGTGACAGTACCCCGCAGCTCTGCCAGACACTCCTCTGTGGTGACGCTGTCCCTCCATCCTGATGGACCCTCCTCACAGGCCGCATCTCCCACAGCAACGACGACACCCCATCCAGACGGGCACCCTCCTACAAACGCCATCTCCACCATCGTGGTGACAGCAACCACTCCCCATTCTGAAAGCCCCCTGCCCACAGGGCCTCCTCCTGCTGCCATGGCAACCACATCCTGACACCCCATCCAGACGGGCACCCTCCTACAAACTCCATCTCCACCATCGTGGTGACAGCAACCGCTCCCCATTCTGAAAGCCCCCTGCCCACAGGGCCTCCTCCTGCTGCCATGGCAACCACATCCTCCCACTCAGAGGGCCGCCCCCCAGGGGAGGCTGCCCCCACCATCCTGCTGGCAAAGCCAACAGGAGCCACCAGCCGTCCCACCACAGTGCACCCCCGGGCTACCACACGCAGGCCCCCCAGACCCCCTGGCTCTTCCCGAAAGGGGGCTGGGGGCTCCTCACGCCCTGTCCCACCTGCGCCCAGTGGACACTCTGGGAGGAAGGAAGGCCAGCGGGGACGAAACCAGAGCTCTGTTCATCTGGGACAGAAGCGGCCCCTTGGGAAAATCTTTCAGATCTACAAGGGTAACTTCACAGGGTCTGTGGAGCCAGACCCCTCTGCCCTCACCCCCAGGACCCCACTGTGGGGCTACTCCTCCTCCCCACAGCCCCAGACAGTGGCCCTGACCACAGCGCCCAGCAGTACCTTGTGGGCACCACCTACCACCCTCCTGGTGCCTGCAGAGGACAAGCCAGGCCTTCCCAGAGTGGACCAGGAGGGTGATCCCACCTTCACCAGCCAAGGAGGGGAGCCGGACACTACCGCAGCCTCAGGTGCCCCTGCCAGCCCACAGCCTGCCCCAGTGCCTTCTCAGCACCCCCGTGGTGACCCACAGGATAGCCCCAGCCACAGTGACTCTGCGCTTACCGTCACCCCCAGCACCAACAGATCTCCTTCTGCCAGCTCTGGGGTCTTCACGGCTGCCACCACCGGGCCCACCCAGGCTGCCTTTGACGCCAGTGTCTCAGCCCCTTCCCAGGGGATTCCTCAGGGCACATCCTCAACCCCACAGGCTCCAGCCCTTCCCCCCGGGATCTCAGAAAGCACTGTTTCTCGAGCCGAGGAGGAGTCTGCATCCACCCCCACCATGACCGACAGGGTGCCCAGTCCTCTCTCCACAGTGGTGTCCACAGCCACAGGCAACTTCCTCAACCGTTTGGTCCCCGCTGGGACCTGGAAGCCTGGAATGGCAGGGAACATCTCCCATGTGGCCGAAGGGGACAAACCCCAGCACAGAGCCACCATCTGCCTGAGCAAGATGGACATCGCCTGGGTGATCCTGGCCATCAGCGTGCCCATCTCTTCCTGCTGTAAGTGCCTTGCCTTCCCCCGACTCCTCCCTTCCCTCCTGCCTCTCTCTCTACCACGTCAACCTGCTTGGCCCTAGAATTGCTTTGCTCAGATTTAGGCCACCTCCACCGAGTGGGCTGCAAAAATTCCCAGAACCCCAGGAAACAAGGTAGCAGGACAAGAATCACAGGTTATCCCTGTCCCTAGTCCTCAGCTCTGCAAGCCCATGGTTCAAATGCCCACTGATCCTAAAGCCACAACTCCCAGGAGCTGGAGAGGACCTTGCAGTCTAATCCAACCCCGCAATTTGCAGAAAGAAACGCCAAGCTAGAGCGGTGATCCCAGAGGTAGAGAGGCAGGGCTGGGATGAGGGCTTAGAGCACCTGTCCTCCAGCCCAGCGCTCTTGTGACACCACCCAGCCACACACACCCTCAAGGGTAACTCGCCAAATGGCTCTGGCGACTTAGCATCAAGAGACCATAGGTGAGAGCTGGTGCTTCCAAATTGAAAGCCTCCGACCAGCAGAGCCTTCACCTTCCTCTCCTACTTCTCTTCCATCTTCTTTCTTATCTTTTCTCTCCTCTCCTCCCTCACTTCCCCTTCTCCTGTCTCTCTCTTCCCCTGAGAAAGAAGAGATGATGCTTGCATCTGGTAGGAAGTTCTGTGAGCCTTAGCAAAAACATAGTTCCTGCAGCGAAATCAAGGCTGTTACATGAATTTTAGCTACTCTCCCCCCCGCCCCCACCCGTTTTATTTGTTCAGAGGTGGCATGAGCTGGATGTGGTGTGAACGTCATCATTACTGTTTGCTCTCCTAAGGCCACCAGCACCTCGTTGCTGCTGCCTGTCATTCTGTGACTGAGGGGTAGGAAGGCATTCTCTCTGCTGTCTCCACAAAGAACCTGCAGAACCACTCAGGACCTTGGGCTTCTTTTTTTGTCTTCTCCATGTACTTGATCCTCAATTCTTGGAGTTTCTCTGATCACCTTGCAGAGATCCTCATTGTACTCAGCCCTACCCCACCCCAAATGGTATCATCCAGCCACCCCCCCACACACCCCCGAACCCTTCCAGGGATGACAGTCCCCACACACACACACACACACACAATACTCACTCCTTGGATAGCCCATTCACCTGTGACTCTTTAGGTTGTTATCCAGCTCTCTTGGGGCCTGAAATTTGCCTCCTTGTAATTTCCACTCTATGGTCCTGAACTGTGCCTTCCAAAACCACACAAAACAAGTCCCTCAAACAACTTCCGAAACATTTGAGATGGCTCTCAAGGGCAGTCTTCATCCAAGTTGCTCATTCCTGTCTTTTCAAGTCTCCTTCCTAGGCCCACATTACCCTGGGGCCCGCGCCCTGTGTGCCCCCTCCAGGTGGCCTCCACTGCACCCTGGTCCCCAGAAGGGAGCACGGCATTCTACACATGCCCAGCCAGGAAGACGGAGGGGATGGTGGGCACTTTGGTCACATCAGGCAGCCTGCACTGGCATCAGCTCTGTTAGTTGTGTGGCTTCAGGTCACACCAAAGGCTCACCCTGATCTCAAGAGAAAGAAGGCCCCAGAGGCTTCGCAGGGGAGGCCATGAAGCCAGGTCTCCCCAGCCTCTCCTCATGCTGTAGGTCATCAGCACACGAGGTTATGGCTTCGACATGAACCACGATGACCACTTGGCATTGTACTCCAAGATATTTTTAAATCCAGAGTCTGCATTCTGTCTAGTAGCTGCCTCTCCCAGTCTCCTTCAGGTTGGTAAGCAAAGCACCCTTTCCACATCAGATGTGTGGCCTGTTTCTACTTAGGGACCCAATTCCAGAAAAGTGAAAATGTTTGCAAGTTGCTTATTTCATTCTTAATGAAAGCAGCTTTATTGTCTCTCATTGGAACACACACCATATTCTTAAAACTGTGATTGCCCACTTCTAAAACAGAAGAATTATAATGAGGCAATGTAGCACTATTAGCTTATAAATTATTAATAGTGGTCATATTTGAGAAGTAACCACACTAGAGACAGCTTTCTAATTTTCCATTCTTTACACATGTCTTGGATGCTCTAGTTTACAAAGTGAGTTCCCATTTTTTTTTCTAATCTTTCCATCCTTAAGACAGACCACCTAGAGAAATAAAATAAAAACAAGCACACACACTGCCAAGGTCCAGCCATCATCCACACCTTACAGGTGGGCAGTAAGTCACCAGGTGAAGTGACTTGCACAGGGTCCCAATCACACAGAGAGTCAGCACAGATCTCCTGATGCAAACTCCGTTTGTCTAATTCAGTGTAGTATTTCCTGAGTGCCCACTGTTGCAGGCACTGTGCCCAGCGCTAGGGAATCAGAGATGTGTCATGTGGCTCCCTCCCCAACTCCCAGCACCCTCTCCCCACCCCGGCCTCCCTCTTTGCCTGGGCTGGATAGCCTGTGCCCCACCTGGATTTTGCAATTCTGAAATGACTCCTACTTCTCCCCCAGCCCTTCTGCTATGTTTGAGTTTGAAATTAGATCAGATCTTGCTGCAAAGCTGGAAAGCCCATGGCTGCCTAAACCATGCATAAAAATGTCAGCCAAGACAGGAGCAAGGATGCAGGCTGGAACTGCACCTCGGGAATGCTTCTGACACTCTGAAAGGAGCCTTCAGGTGCTGGGGATGGACCACACTGCTTTCTAAAGAAATATACAAACTTCTGTTCAAAGCAGACTCTTGTAGCCCCTTGGGAACCTGCAAGCCCTGCCTCCTTTGACATCTGTATTGCATTTGAGCCATCTGCATGGGAGGCTCCCGCGAGCCCTCACTCTCCAAGGCCCCTGCTGCAGCCCCTGCTGCAGCCCCTGCTGCCTCTACATCAGCTCCCTGTCCTCGGTCACACCCCCATC